GAGATAGGGTCTGTCTCAGAGCCCCGAGTGCACCGCTTTTACAGAGTTTAGCTAGCCAGCTTGCTCTGCAGATCCCGCCTCTGCTACCCGAGTGCTGGGATTACAGGCAGCCACCTTGCCTGCCCAGCTCTTTGCCTTGGTGTGGGGATCTGAACTGCCATCCTCACATTTCATGGCAAATCCTTTACCACCGAGCACATCCCCAGTCTTTGTTTCTGGTCTTATTTTTTTTTGACTTAAATGCTATTGATTGAATAGCCCATAATGCATTCATATTAATTTATTATTAATAGATATTTGGCTTTTTCTGCCTGTCAGATTTGGGGCCACAGTCAGCCTACATCTTCCTTGGCACTAGAGAAACTGAACGATATAAAAATGGCCAAATTAGATTCTCCATGGCTCTCACCCCACCATGTGCTACAGCTGTGGTCAGGTGCTCAGGGCAGACTGGCAGAGGGGAAGGAGACAGCCCAGTGGAGTCAGGGAGCACTAGGAGCTGCATCAGGCATGACACCAGCAGTGCTCCCGACAGCCAGCAGTGCTCCCGACAGCCCGTGTTCCGTGGGACCCAGCAGGAGGAAGGTGGCTTTAGCCGGCATTCGAGGGTTCTTGGGGACAGAAGATGCTGAAAGTCACCTACACCTCACTATATCACCTGTTAAACTTCCAGGTCCACTCACTTTCATGGCTGTGAGTCTGAAAGTCCTTGTTAATGGACCTTGAGTTCATGTGTGACTTTGGCATAGAACCCTTTCTCCACCTCAGTTTCCCCTCTCTGAACCTCAACTCTGAAGACCTCAGTTCTGACCCAAGCTGTGCTCACCTTACTGATGGGGATTCCTCTAGGGATGAGTCATGGGGTGGAGGGCACACTCCAGCCACCCTCTCCCAGAAGCCACCTCCCCTCCCCCAGGCAAGAAGGGCTGTGTCATCATGGACCACATTCTTAAGTTTCTTCCGGAGGAATCGCACCCTTGCTCACATCTCCTGGGATGTGGTGGCCCTGTTGGGTGTTGTCTTTTAATTTGGGGTCTGGACCAGTAATTATGTGTGCAGAGCTGTTTACGAAAACGGCCTGTGAAGAAAGTCAGTGCGGAGACTCAGCTGAAAATACCCCAGGAGTGATCCTGGGCCTCGGCACAGTGCTGAGGCTCCTGGTGGGAGAAATTCCCTCAGGTGCAGAATGCACAGGTCACTAACCCCAGGCCCCACCCTCCTCTGAGGTCCTGCACGAGCCCAGGAGCCCAGGGTCTTGTAAGTCTGGTGTGGGCCCCTCAGCCTTTGTACCAACTGCATAGGGCAGTCGTGTCCAGCCCCTCCTCCTCAGGACCTGGAAACCTGTCCCCACCCTCAAAGGCCCCACCAGGAAAGGAAACAAATGTCACAGCAAGTGCAGACATCAGTGACCTCTGATGGAGACTCCTGTGACATGGTTGTCACTCAGATCAGCGACAGACCCCAGCCCCAGGAGCTGTGAGTGGTGGACACTGAGCCAGCGTCCTGGGGAAGAAGAGAAGTCCGCTCTCTCTGTCCCCTGAACAGACTGCCATCCGTCCACCAGCCATGTGCAGCTACTGCCCTAAAGAGCTCACTATCTAAAGGGGACACAACCCGCTGGCACAAGGGAAGGGGACAGACCCAGAGCCTGGTCACACTCCACCACTGAGGGAAGTCAGTGAAGCAAATCAAGCAACGAGGAACCTGGAGCCAGGAACTGCAGTAGAGATCACAGAGGAACGCTGCTCACTGGCTTGCTCAGCTTGCGTTCTTATACAGCCAGGACTACCTGCCAAGGGGCTACACGACCCACAGTGGGTTGGCTCTTTCCGTATCAATCATTAATCAATACAGTACCCTACTGGCTTTCCTACAACCTGTCTCAATTGTGATGCCCTCTTCTCAGATAACTGCAACTTGTATCAAAGTGACGTAAAACTAACCAGCACAGGGAACCGTGGAACCAAATACAGCTTTTTCTGTGCCCCGGGCATTGCTTTTTGTGTGTCTTCCCATGGTTTTGCCAAGCATGTCTGGGATTCTTGCACGGAATGGTCAATTGACTCAGCTTTGCAGAATGTTGTGTAGACAGCATTGCTGTCCATACTGCAGGTCTCCCCTGTTGACAGTTACCTGTATGATCTTACCTGTTAGGTTCTCAAAGGTCGTACTGACCCTATGGAAAGCATCCAAACCCTCTCCTCCATCGTTTTTGAACCCATGATCCCTTCTATTTCTTAATACCACCTACAAACAAATGACATTCCCTAACTGGCTTTGGCTTGTGTGTGTGTGTGTGTGTGTGTGTGTGTGTGTGTGTGTGTGGTGGGTAATGGTGTGAGATCCCACATTTACAAGATTTTTTTTAAACCATCTCATTGTATCTCTCCTCCTCCTCCTCTTCTTGAGACAGAGTCTCACTATGTAACCCTGGCTGTCCTGAAATTCACTCTGTAGACCAGGCTGACTTGAACTCACAGAGATCCACCTGCCTCCACTTCCCGAGTGCTGTGATTAGAGGAGTGTGTCACCATCTGGCCCTCCCTTGTTTGTCAAACCTCACTAGGACTGAGCTTAACTGTCTTGTTCACTTAGATGTTGCCGCCACCTATGGCAGCTGTGCAGAAATGAGCAGAGAACTACATCTGTCAGAGAAAGACACCAAACAAACCTTGTTCTGATTGTAAAACTTCAAAGACAAGCTGAGGTGTTGTGGGACTCTATCCTTCCCACCCTGGTCTGGGGCTGCATGCATAGAGGCAAACCTGTCACCCAGCCCACCCCAGCCCTGTTGTGTGTCAGTCACTGCAGACTTGGGTCCTCACAGAAAGATAGGAAATTGTCTTCAGGTTTGCTCTGATAGTTCAACCTGGTGCTTTGTAGAACCTGGCTTGTAGTCAGCAAGCCTGTTGGTCACAGAAGGAATTGCTAACGACTTGGAAACACATAATTAAAATCTGTTAGGTTTGGGGAATACGCTGGGCTGCTTCAACCCCTGTTTACTGGAAACAGATTTTTGGCATTTGGCAGTGAAAGCAGGGGCTGGGTGGTGGAAGCACACTTTTTCAATCTCAGCACTTGGGAGGCAGAGGCAGGTGAATCTCTGTGATTTCTAGGCCAGCCTGTCTACAGAGGGAGTTCCAGTATAGAAAGGGCTACACAGAGAAACCCTGTCCTGAAAAACGAAAGAAAGAGAGAGAGAGAGAGAGGAAGAAGAAGGAAGGAAGGAAGAAAAAAGGAGGAAGGAGGAAGGAAGGAAGGAAGGAAGGAAGGGAGAGAGAAAGAAAAAGAGAAAGAGAGAGTGAAAGAAAAGAAGGAAGAAGAAAGGAGGAAGGAAGGAAGGAAGAAAAAAAGAAAAAGAAGGAAAGAAGTAAGAAAGGAAGGATGTGAAAGGAGACTCCCCTGAATATTCTTCCCTGGGCATCTCTGTGCTGCTGGGCAAATGTGGGATATGTTCTTCAGATTTGGTCTCTGCCCTGTTGGCTGTACCCACCCTGGGCCTCACCTCAACTGTCACCCCATCCTATCCTCCCCTCGCCATCATGGGGACTTGTAGTTGGTCTCAGACTATGTGGCTCCCACTGGTCAGAGAACAGCATTGTTCCTAGCCCTGAGCTCCAGCTTACTGCAGATAGGCCCCGCTTAACTCATGGCTTCACCCCACAATAAGTCTGTGGACAGCAGTCCCTCCCCAGTGCACCCCATCTCTCCGTTGCTTAGAGTACCCTTTGCCATCTGCTCCCCACCCTCTGAGGCCTGTTTAAGCTCAAGTCTTCCAAGAAGCCTGTTTGGACCTCAAAACGCAGTGGGGCAGACTTCTCCAGCGGTCGAGGGCCAGCCCAAGAGTTTGCCATCCTACTTTTGATTTTTAATACTTTCTACTTCTCTTCTTCCACTTTCCTTCTGTACCCTAGAGGGGACGTGGGTCCTGTCTCCTGGTTGCTGGCACTGGGTGTCCCTCCCTTTCCTAAGGTCCTTCTGCTGCTGGCCTTGTAATGCGGCCTGAACTCGGCACATCCCTTTCCCAGGACACCGAGGAAATTCGAACACAGAACTAACAGTTCAGCTCAGCTGTCAGATCTGAGCTCCCCCATCCCACCTTCTCCTCAAGGGCAGGCCCTGAGAGTCCTCTGTCCCACTGAAATTCAGCCAGTTACGTCCCTGTAGACAGGGTTTTCCCCTGAACTGTGCTAATTTTCTGCCTTGGGAGCAATGTCCATCTCGCTGTTGGCCTAGCAGCTCTAAGAGGAGGCATCGTGATTCATCAGTGGGACCAGGACCCTGCTGAGCACTTGCTGAGTTTCCCACTACACCACCTCCTGGGGCCTGGTGTGCTCCCAGAGCAGACCACAAGCTGTGTGTATAGCAGGAGTAGCCCCCAACCAGGCACCACAGGGAGCCCTACTCTGAGCACAAGCCATCCTGGTTCCCAATAATGACCTCATTCCCACTTTGTCTTCCAGTGGAGCGCGACCGTACCCTGGACTACCAGGAGCCACACTGGAAGGAATTCCGCTTTGACCTAACCCAGATCCCTGCTGGGGAGGTTGTCACAGCTGCTGAGTTCCGGATATATAAAGAGCCCAGCACCCACCCGCTCAACACAACCCTCCATGTCACTATGTTCGAGGTGGTCCAGGAGCGCTCCAACAGGTATCTTCCCTCTGCCCAGGTACCCACCCCACTCATGGTTTCATGGTCTAGGCTTTGGCAGGGCCTGACCAGAGGATGCATTTCCCAGAAAGGAAAGGGGGCCTCCTGGGAGAGGCACCTCAGACACGAGAAGGGGGCTTGGCCTTGACCTCTGCACTGCCACTAAGACCGTGGAGTCCACATAGGCCACAGCTGAGCCGGTGTACCATCAGCGCATGGACACAGTAAAATGTCCAGGGTTGGTTATCAGTGAATTGTGGTACCAGAGGAGGCCAGACCAGAGCCGAGCAGGGAAGAGGCTTCGAAAGTGGTCCCCCAGGCAGGCACAAGATGCAGGCAGGCAGGCATGCGACCTCAGCCCTTGGTTAATTGTTCTTTCATGTCCACAGGGAGTCTGACTTGTTCTTTTTGGATCTTCAGACGCTCCGATCTGGGGACGAGGGCTGGCTGGTGCTGGACATCACGGCAGCCAGTGACCGCTGGTTGCTGAACCACAAGAAGGACCTGGGACTCCGCCTCTATGTGGAAACCGAGGATGGTGAGGTTCCTGGGCTTAGCAGGGAGCTGCCCTGGGTGTCCTGGGAGGGGGTTCCAGCCCAGGCTGCCATCCTAATACACGGAGCCCTCTCACTGGGCCATGCTTGGCCTTTCTTGAGGACTCAGTGTGTAGTGGTGAGGTCCTGGACACCGGGAGGCCCCAGTCAGGGCTGCCTTCCTGAGGCTCCTAATAGTGATTGACCTCCCAAGAGCCAGCTCCAGCATCCAATGGGGTGGGGTACTTTCATGGGCAGCAGACCTCCACTCTGAGAGGTTCTGTACTAGGAAGGAGAAGTGGGGGACCCGCACCCCAGGTTCTTAGTGCAGAGCCTGGGTTATCCCTGCTCTGCAGTGTTGTAGCTCAGTACCCGAGCCTCAGTTTCCCCGTCTACACAGGTTTACAGCCACTGCTTCACTCTCAGGGTTTTCATGCCTTTGAGGTGGGGCAGTGAGGGCAGAAAGGACAGCAGGGCAGGAGACTGGCCTGTCTGGGGTCCAGCAAAAGGCTGGAGGGATAGCTTGGAAGGAGAGGGGCAGAGCGGTGGCAGGGCTCACTCTGAGTTAGGGAAAGCTGGCAAGGTACTTGGAAAGTTTCGATCAGTTTAACAACAGTGGGTGACATATGCGACTGTGGCTTTAAAAGACCCAGCTAACTTCAGCCCCTCAAGGAATCCTAACCCCGCCCCCAGATGAGCTTTCCCGGGGTACTATGAGAAGAAGGGGTGGTGGCGGACTGGACCCAGCACAGGCAGTCAGATGTCAGCAGCATTACCAAGGAGTGTCTATCCAAGATGTTGTGAGACAGGTCAGGCGACAGGGATGGCCAAGGGTGTCCTCAGGCAGAGTGTGACCCATGGCGATCCCAGTGAGTGTCCTCCCTTCTCTGTGACGCAGCACTGAGGTGGCATCGGGCAGCTCACAGGGTGCACCAGGCCTTTCCCGCTCTGTCCGGGTCTTGGGAGCCCCGTGGCCTGTAGGCGATGGCGGCGCTGAGGCTTCTGGCATGGGCGCTTCCGCGCGGGGTCTCCATCTGCCGCCCACCGCCCGCGCTGCCCCACCGCCTTGTCCTCCGCTTTGCTAGCGACCGCTGCGGACGGGTCCACTTCTACACGGACCCTGTGCAGGCGGTGGAGGGCGTCAAGGATGGGGCGACCGTCATGCTCGGAGGCTTCGGGCTCTGTGGCATCCCCGAGAACCTGATCGGCGCTCTGAAGACCAAGGGCGTGAAGGACCTGAATATCGTCAGCAGCAACGTGGGCGTGGAGGACTTCGGCCTGGGCATCTTGCTGGCCTCTAAGCAGGTCAGGCGCGTGGTGTGTTCGTACCTGGGGGAGAACACGCTGTGCGAGAAGATGTACCTGTCGGGCGAGCTGGACCTGGAGATGACGCCGCAGGGCACCCTGGCCGAGCGCATCCGCGCAGGAGGCGCGGGCGTGCCCGCTTTCTACACGCCTACGGGCTACGGCACGCTGGTGCAGGAAGGGGGCGCCCCGATCCGGTACTCGCCAGATGGCCACCTGGTCACCCTGAGCCAGCCGCGGGAGGTGCGCGAGTTCAAGGGCCGCCACTACCTGCTGGAGCACGCTATCCGCGCAGACTTTGCCATGGTCAAGGGCTGGAAAGCCGACCGTTCGGGCAACGTGATCTTCCGGGGCAGCGCGCGTAACTTCAACGTGCCCATGTGCAAGGCCGCGGACATCTCTGTGGTGGAGGTGGAGGAGATCGTGGACGTGGGCTCTTTCCGCCCAGAGGACATCCACATCCCCAACATCTACGTGGACCGTGTGATCAAGGGGCCGAAGTATGAGAAGCGCATCGAGCGCCTGACCACGCGCGACAGCCAGCCCGCAGCCGCGAGCAAGCAACAGGACTCCATCAGGACGCGCATTATCAAGCGCGCAGCTCTCGAGTTCGAGGACGGCATGTATGCCAATCTGGGCATCGGGATCCCTGTCCTGGCCAGCAACTTCATCAGCCCCAAGATGAAAGTCTACCTGCACAGTGAAAACGGGGTCCTGGGCTTGGGCCCGTTCCCCTTGAAAAATGAGGTGGATCCCGACATCATCAACGCGGGCAAGCAGACGGTGACCGTGATCCCCGGGGGGTGTTTCTTCGCCAGCGATGACTCTTTTGCCATGATCCGCGGAGGACACATCCAACTGACCATGCTCGGTGCCATGCAGGTTTCCAAATACGGTGACCTGGCCAACTGGATGGTGCCAGGAAAGAAAGTGAAGGGCATGGGCGGAGCCATGGACTTGGTATCGGGTGAAACCAAAGTGGTGGTCACCATGGAGCACTGCACCAAGACAAAGCAACCCAAGATCTTGGAGAAATGCACCATGCCACTGACTGGCAAACGCTGCGTGGACCTCATCATCACCGAGAAGGCCGTGTTTAAGGTGGACCCAAAGAAGGGGCTGACGCTGGTGGAGCTGTGGGAGGGCACGTCGATGGATGACCTCAAGGCCACCACAGCCTGCGCCTTTAGTGTGTGCCCCAACCTCAAGCCCATGCAGCAGATCAAACCTGATGCTTGAGGAGCCCTGACCCCTCCCTCCAGGGCTGGTTTGCGGAGGAGTTAGCGACCACGGGGACATCTGACCTGTGTGCCACGGGCTCCTCGGACTTCCTGCTGCCAGATGGTATCTTCTCAAGAGCCGAGTGATTTTAATTAAAAATCCTAAGCCGAGCCTGTGTGTCCGGTGCCTAACTAAAGCCCTCTGCTGACACCATGGAGGAGACTGGATGGCATCTCCCAGTTTCTGTGACCTTCACATACAAGGTTCCAGAGCATCCCCTGACAGGTCTCAAGACCAGTGCTGCTTCTCATAACTGAATCATGAACCGTAGAGAAAAGCAAAGGGCGGGAAGGAATCCAGAGTTTACCTGGTGCCACGAAATGCAGAGCTAGGGTCTGTGAGCAGGGGGAGCCCTGGTTTCTCTTCCTGGGCCCTTGTTTCTGCTCCTAATTTTGTTGCCCCGAGTCCGAGTCCGCTGACACCTGACTTCTTCCTGGGAGCAGCTTATGTGTCCCTAGAAGGGAGGCAGGCCTATAGGGTGTGGCCTGTGGGAGGAGACTGAGGGAAGCTGATTGGTGCTGTTTCTCTGCCTGGAATACCCACTGGATGTAAACAGTGTCCCAGCATGTCTCTGAAGAGGCCCAAGCTTAGCACATGGATGAATTCTTACCTAGTGAGCTGCAGTGTCTCCTGTTGCCCCTACCACACTGACATTCTGTCCGGGAAGTCCACTGGCCTCCCTTCCTAACTCCAATATGGCATCTTGGGGTCTGTCATTCTGAATCTGTAATCTCACAGTGAAAGTGAAAAAAGTTACATAGGTGTGTGTGTGTGTGTTTGTGTGTGTGTGTGTGTGTGTGTGCGCGTGCGCGCTCTGAGAAATCATGCCCTCTCCCATTCTCTTCTGTCCAGAGCTGGGAAGCCTGGTGGCCTTCGACCAGATAGAGTTCTGTCTGATGATGGGGATCGAGGAGCAGAGCTGACAGGGAAGGTGCTCTCCGATTCAGGCGAGGACACCTCCTCTGGGCCCATCAGATACAAAACTCTGGAAAGAGCAGCAGCAGTTCCTGTGGGCTTCTGCCCCACCTCACTGGGTCTCTGCCTTGTGCTGGGCAGGGTAGGAGTTGCTTGGCTCTGCAGCTGCTTGCGCCAGACCTAGAACAGTTGATGCCCTCTCTGGGTCTTAGTTTGTGTGCCCCTAAAATGGAAACCTTGGCTTAGCTGTATCCATGGGCTCCCAGCACAACTCACCTTGCCTTGGGAGCCTCCAGAGGTCTCCAGCACCCATCCCAGCTAGCTTTGAGGAGTTCAGCCAAGAACTGCTCTGTGTCCAGCAGAGCCTAGAAGACCAGTTACATAAAAGGAAAGCAAACGTGGCTGAGCCTGGAACACTGATGGCCTCTGTGTTCCGCAGAAGCCAGGCCTCTGGGACTCCACAGTAAGTAGCAGGGACACAGGCCCTGTCCTGGGCCCAAGCCTGCCCCTTGTGTCATTCACAGGGCCTGACACTGTGGGCCCTTCCAGCTCCCAGCTGCTCCGTCCTCCCCGTGTGGGGCCCTGGGGCCCTTGCTATCTTTCCCTCTGCCTGAGGCTCTGCCTTCTCACACTACCTGCTTCCCACCAGCCTCACTCTGGACCCCATTCCTCCTGCCTGACCTCACCCGAGTCTCTTCCGGGCCACACCTGCAGCCCACGCCCCTTGTCCCACAGCTCTCAGTCCTGGGATGGAGACTCAGGCCTCGCACATTTGTTAGTAGCAGGTGAAATCATAGGTCAAAGGTTGCATTGATGAGCTTTTATTTCAAGTGGCAGGTGGACATCTGGAGTCCAGTCCAGATGTGGAGCGTGGAGTCCAGCTGCCTGAAGGGCTGAACTTGGAGTGGACTGTCCACCACAGGTAGACACTGGCCTTGACTTAGTGTGTGACGAAGAGCCTGGTAGAGTGCAAACGGAGCACACAAACCTGAGTGTGCATGCACGTATGAGTGTGTTCTGTTTTGTTGCAGTTTGTGTTGGGATTATACCTAAGGTTTCATGCTCCACTCCAGACAGGCTCCACTCCTGAGCTGTGGCCTCAGCCCTTTGGGCTCTTTTACCTCCTTCCAGTTTTGGGGTAGAACCCAGAGTGCTGAGTATACTAAGTGAGAACACTGAGTCACATTAGTGTCTATATATACAAGCACGTACATGTGTGCATCAGTGCTTGTAACATGTCAACTGAACAATGGTGCTGTGTTTAGTGGTAGATAACATGAGCATTGTTGGGCTTTGGTGTAGGAATCTCACACGGGCACCAAAGGAAATGGTTCTGAGCCCTGTTATGGCACCGGAAGGATCCTGACTGCTGGTGGGAGATGAACCCACCTGAGCTGCTGTGTGGGGGCCATTACTATGCAGAACGATTGTTGGTTGTTATACTGTTAGAGTTTTTGATTGGCTTCTCAGGACTTTCTATTATTCTTGTTTTGTTTTTTAAGATCATTTTACTTTATGGGTATGGGCATTTTGCCTGCATTCACAGATACGTGCATCCCATACATGCCTGGTGCGATGGATCCCCTGGAACTAGATCTATCTGCATAGTTGCGAACTGCCTGCCATGTGGGTACTAGGAACAGAACCCAAGTCCTCTAGAGGAGTAGTCAGTGCTCTTAACCACTGACCCATCTCTCCAACCCTTTTTAATTTATTCTTTGAAAAGTTCATACATGTATGCAATGTGTTTTGATCATACCCTCCCACCACGACCTACTTTTTGGTTTTTCAAGACAGGGTTTCTCTCTATAACAGCTCTGTCATGGAACTCGCTTTGTCGACCAGGCTGGCCTCTAAGTCAGAGATCCACCTGCCTCTGTCTATCAAGTGCTGGGATTAAGGGTTTGCACCTTTACCTGGTCACTATCTATTTCTAATTTCTCTAGTGCCTCCCTGTCTGATTCCCAACCTCATGGTCTCCTCTTTCTGTTGCTCTTGATAACCCAGGTTCTGTTGCTGCTGCCCATCCGCCCATGGGTGTAGGGCCATCCTCAGTGGTGCAGGCAACCTACCAGTAGCCACATCTGTTTGGTTTTTTGTTTTGAAAAACAGGCTTTCATGTAGCCCACGCTGGCCACCAGCTCAGTGTATGGCAGAGGATAACCTTGAACCCCTCTGCTTCCTGCCTCTCCCTTCTAAGTGTTCCCAGACTGGGTCACCATGCCAGCTTACTGGAGTGCTTCTGCAGTTAGAAAGGACAGGGCCACTGTTGGGACCACCTGCAAAGCTGGAGCTGGTGCTGGAGGCTTTGCTCCCCTAGGTTCACTGTACTGTGGGGGCATCTGCAG